TTTTTTTTGGCCCTTTGGGCCCCCCCCTTTTGCAGCAACCCCCCGATGTTTTCACTTAAAAAAACCCCCCCCCCCCCCCAAAAACAGATAAAAAACCCCACATGAGTGATGTTTCCTATTTTTCAAAAGGAAGAAATGATACTTACGTATTCCCAGTCCTGTTGTGAAAACATCCCTTTTCTCTTGACTGTGAGAAAAAATTACATTCTTCTAGCTAACAACTTATGCAAACGCTGTTTCATGTTTAGTCCAGAAATACCCTTTTATATATCACACCTCGTTTTGAACTGGGTTTTATACTATTTCTGTTACTGTCTCGCTTTCAGATCTATGTGATCAGTTTGGCTGAACCCCGATTACCCTTGCAGCTGGATGATGCTGTTCGGCCAGAGGTAGAAGGAGAGGAGGTGAAAACTCTTCATCATTGATATATCTCTGAACTTGTTGTATTTGTACTTGAGCAAAAACTAGAAAGCATGATATAGTTTCTCTTCTCCATGCAGTGATACTTTTCTGAATGCATTTAATTTCCTTTATATTGTCCAGATTGTGTTGTGTTCCTTGAAACCTTCTCCATTTAGTAACACTTCCTGAGGTGCGATAGAGCTAAATACGCTGCAGACAACATCCCATTATACCAGTTAGAGATGTAGGAGCTTTTTGTGAAATAGAAACATCATATGTTGTATTCCAGGTCCTTAGCAGTCTTTGAGTCTGGTTGCTGCTTTATGTCCATTGGGAAAGGTCATCCCTTAAATTCTTGTTCACATTGGGAATAAAGAATTAGGTTTGGATTGCTGTACTGTAGCTCCAGAATAATACTTGAAGTCATTCTACTAAAAATGAAATAACCTTTGGCTTTTAATGAGAGTCTTTTATTCTGTTTAGGATGTTTCTTTTCAGGCATCTGTGTTAATTATATTTCCTTTACTCTACTCTTTAGGATGGAAGAGCTACTGTAAACCAGGATACAAGATTGGACAACAGAGTCATTGATTTGAGGGTAAGGAATACACTGTGTTGTATGGTAAACTAAAGCTTTTTAGAGCTGTGAAAACTCCTGGGTTTGAGTTTGATTGTTCTGAGCTTGTTTTAACTGTTCATTTATAAATAACACTGAGGAAAGAAACCACTGTTATATATATGCACTTGCATTGAACTCCTGCTAAGACAAAAGTATCTCCTGATAGGAAAACGTTCACATTTTAAAGTATTCATGTCCAGCTGACAAAATTCCAGTAAGGAGCAGGTTATGAATGCACAGATTGGGGATTCTAGATGACATTATAAGGAGTCAAAGGATTTGGGAGTAAGTCAGAGTAACTTGTAATTTAAGTTCTTAGTTAAGGTTTCATTTCAAGCCTCTGGAGTGGGAAATTTATGGGAGATATTTCTTTGGTTGCTTATGTCTAAGAAGTGTAGGTTACTCTTAATGGGATTTTTGGCACCAAATAACAGCATCCTCAGTACCATTTTCCCAGAACTTACAATAATACAAACTCAAATGCAAGGCTTTCCTTTAAAGAGGATGTGGGTTTTTGCTTACTGTCAGTCCAAGAAAAAATGGTTAGTTGCTTTTGGAGGTTTAGAGACAAATGCCCTCTTTTTACACCTGACTGTGGTGCTGTACAACTAATATTACACTATTTAACTACTGTAGGGAAACATTGTAGGTGCCTAAATCCTCACTGTTTTTCAGAACCCTTTCTCAATCCCATAGGCACCTAAATTCCATAAAGCCCTAAGTTTTTACCAGTGAAGTTCCCTAAGCATCTGAAGTTCTGGTCCTGCACATGCCTAGAACTGCCTGCATCTTGTCAGAATTGAGCAGGATGGTATGTCTCATAGCCAAGCCTGATAGACTCGGGGTTTTATAGTTTCATAATTTGTAGGGTCAGAAGGGACCTGAGCAGATTATTGAGTCCGACCCCCTACCATGGCAGGAAAGAGTACTGGGGTCAAACGACCCCAGCAAGGTGGTCATCCAGCCTCCTCTTAAAGACCCCCAGGGTAGGAGCCAGCACCACTTCTCTTGGAAGTTGGTTCCAGATCCTAGCCACCCTGACCATGAAGTAGCACCTTCTGATGTCTAATCTGAATTTACCCTCTGCCAGCTTGTGACCGTTATTTC